AACCACAGAAATTGTGTAGATAAAAATATAGCAGAAATTCCTAACTCAGAAGACAGACTCAAGCGAATGTAGAGAACTGTAGAGCTATGTTTTCCCACTAAAGAAATGCAAATATTAATAATAATAAACTTATAAAGAGAAAGACAACAGAGCACACCGATGGACTAAACAGTCATAAATGTACACACAATCAAATGAGACAGAGATATACACATAAATATTAACGGTGATGAACAGATAAACACACAAACGGAGTCAGAGAAGTATGAAAACTATGAGGTATCTATAATATCTATATACAGACTTGAAGTATATTTCTTTATAAGCTCAAGTAATAAATCAAAAGTTGACACACCGTTGCTAACTGTTAATATAATAGAATCCATAATTGAATGCACTGTAACCCTGAATGTCCACATACCAAGCAGTCTCTGCAGTCCAGCAATGACCAACACACCTGATGTATTTTGGGCGTTGCATCCTGCAAACCTCAACACCCTCAGGTTAAAGAGGAGCAGCTAGATAGGTAATAAACACAAACCAGCTGCCACAGACAGAACAACAACAGCAAAAACACCCAAGTCAGTTGTACAAGGTGCCAGTATAAAGTCTGTGTTATAGCGCATCCAATGACTGTCATTACTGCACAGTTTTTAACTCTTTGTGTCCCAGGGGGTTTAGCATCACAGGCCCAGGGGTAGTAAAGAAAGTCATAAAATTGGTGCATAATGCATTCATTGGGCCTCTAGGTAGGAACCTATGAGCGTATGATGCGTTCCTTGAGTCTCAAAGAGTTAAACTAGCAGAGTGGAAAATTCAAAGCCCAAGTAGCCAGTAGCCAAGTGTCTAGTCCCTGTGCTCCTGTAGCCCCCTTAGTATATACAGTATAAGAGTATTTCTCTCACACAATGATACCTTCACACTGGCTGCCACTGTTCACAGCCTGTCCTGCACAATCATAACCTCACATCTTGAGGTCGTCTGCTTGAAACGCAAACCGTTTTTTTTTAACACTAATATTACACAAAACATACTGTATGTGCATGTTCACAAATCAAACTTGATTGAAACAATAAAAGCCTGGTTATTGCAGAATAGCAAATGTATACTCAACAAACTGTATGTGAACACTCATCATTCACACTTGACAAAAAATGCAGTATTTCATGTACTAACACATGCACGTCAATATACTACAGCATGGTCAGTTAAATAAGTCCACATAAAGGAAATAAAACTGTTTCTTGGTTACGGTATCATTTATCTATGTGTTAAAGCTGGCACAGACAGCACACTCTATTTGACTCTCTCCTGGTAAATGTAAAATAGTTTTTAAAGCCCCATGTACACTTAAATTTAAAATAAAGTCAAAGAAAAACAAGATTCTTAGATTATTATTATTTCAAGATTATAACATATATTTCCCAATATACTGGGTAGGGATCAACTTAGTAGGTATCTTTCTGTCCTTCCAGATGATGGCGGTTTTATACTGTGCTACAGAAAGGCATTGGAACTACAAACCGTGGCGACAGAAAGTGTGACTTGCAAAACGTGCTCATGCTAAGAAGTCTCCCACGGTTAGAGCATGGGATTTCAGGACCATTGTTGCTATCACAGGTATCTAACATCCTTCTCAGATGCTAGGCTCTGAGCCTATCTGCAATAACTTTCTCCGTTATTCTTATGCCTTCTTAATTCCCCCTTCTATGCAACATGTTCCAAGGCACTATCCACATCGATTCATGTATCCTTCAGGTCCCAATTTCACATATCTTTATATCTAAAGCTTACACTATTATGGTATATATACGCACTCGGATACAGTGCTACTTCCTTTATGCACCAAGCATAGTACCTACAAATGCCATTATGAAAGAAAATATATGTTCTGGTTCGGTTTGTTATTTACTTAAATGTGCACATTACTTGTTTGTAAAAAGTGATTTTATTATGTGGCTAAGCATCCCTGCTACTGTGCTGTTTACTGAAAATGGTGTTAGTTGAAAAGTTATTTTATCTGATTGTGTTGTTCCTCTCATTGAGCTTCAAATATATATTTTACATTCATCTGGTCACTTATTCTTTGCTAAACAAAAATGTATGTGCTTATTGAATTACTAAATAGATATTGACTCATTTTTTTACCACATGTGACATTTTTCTCAGTTTTTAATATAAAACAATCTTTTCTACATAAGACATGCATTTATTTCTTTATCAAATTCAATATTTTTTCAGCTTCAGAACTAGGTCATGAAATGCTTCCATATTTTTTTGAATATTTACAGGACAATAATATCTGTCTTCCCATCATTACTTAAAGAGAATTCAGTCCAGACATATACAACAGCAATCTGTTAGAAGGCAACATAAACATAGACAAGAAACAAAAACATCTCTACAAAGTTGTTCATAGACTAACAGATACCAGAAAGTAAACTTCTTCCCTCTTTTGAATTCCAGAAAGACTATTTTATTATGTTTTCAACTGATTTTCACAAGGATCGTATCCTTATAACTTCTTCCCATAGGTGTTAACCCAGTACCTAACATGAAATTAGTAACTAAATCATGACATTTCAGTGCTGGCACCTATTAATAAATCTGTAATTTATTAGAAGTTCTCTATTTGTCCTGCAATTTTCTGGTGTCTTTAACAATACTGATTTGATCAATCCTGAAGTCTGGTTGAGATGGAAAAAATTAAAAGATGTCATCTGCAGTTTAGGAAAAACTAGAACATGTATGATTACATGCATATGAAACACAGACAATAGGCAGCATATGAAACACAGACAATAAGCAGCATATGAAACACAGACAATAGGCAGACAAGCTGGAAAATACCTATTCCCAGCAGAGGTGTGGATGTTTTAGAAGCATGCATGGGAAAATGGAATGAAAGAGAGAAAAACAAAAACCGATAAGAGAAATTAGATGTATACAGTCAGTTTTATTTCTCTAGACATGTTATCAGAAGGAATGGACTAAAGAACTTGGTAACTGAATTATGGACTGAATGGAAACTAACTAACTTGGTGACAACTGGCAAGAATGATAGACAAAAAAGAGTAAGGGAAAGGCAAAGATATAAATACCTTGATGTTTTGGCTTATGGATGGGGTGAGATGAGCACTGACCTGATCCATGATTCTGATAATCATGTTAGACGGCAAAAGATGTCAGCCTATGCTTATCGGCTGGGCACATGATGATGAATGCTGCTTTTACATGGTAATCTTTTAACCAATATCCTAATGCTCTCTAGCTTGCATTCTTACACTGCTTACTAACTGTTTATGTGATAATCATTACTAACTGTTAATGTGACAATCTTTACTAACTGTTTATGTGACAATCATTACTAACTGTTTATGTGACAATCATCTGAACTTGCCCACAAATTCTCTCAAACAATAATCTCTGTATTAGTCCCTTGATATGAGCCAGTCAAAACATTCATCAATGGCCTCAAGTATTTCTTAACACTTGCAATTCCCTTGCTATTCAAAAATTAGCAAGAAACAAAAACAAACTGGTTATTGCAATGACAATCAATCTGGCGAAGGTTAGTAAAAGAATTTCACACCTACATTCAGAAACAGGAAAGACATTACATGGGATAAACAATATCAATTGGTTTTCACAATAGGTTTATTGTACACAAGCCGACAACGAAAGGAGACTATAAGTATAAGCATTAAATTATTAACTCAGATCACACTTTGTGTATGTTCCCAGATTCATGTTTGATCTGGGTACTCTGGTGACAGTGTTCTACGGCTCTAACAACATGCTAAGATGAAACTTTCCGGCAGATCTCATCAGTGTATTCAGAACACGTAGACTTTCCCCCTAGGTCTCCAGTCAGGTGCTGAAATACAAGAGCATCCAGTTAAAAGTCAGAACACCTATTGCAAGCTGCATGTTACTGTAGCTTTTAATTCCTATATCACTCAGTGTGCCCTATTATTTCAACTTGTCCTTTACTTCTTTAAATGCCAGTCAAACCAGTGAATTTATTTCTCAATTTAGTGTTCAATATATTTTTCTGGACATTGTGTGGAATCTGTTGGCCATGAAATACTACATGACTTACTTAGTTTTCAGCCAGTCAAAACGTGCTATGATTATTCATGCCTTGGTAACATCCTAATATGCATTTTCACAGATGTGGTTCCTGTATCGGTCCTGCACAATCCACTGGTCTAAAATCATGAGAAAAGATGTTCCAAGTGTTTCACATCCTTACAGCAAAACTGTAGAGCTGCGGTGGCACAGTGTAAACAGGAGAGAAATGTCTCAGCAACCACTATTATCAATAGTTATAAGACAGTGAAGAGGACGCTATAGTGGACACATTTTGAAAAGAGATGAACAGAGAATCACAGAGAACAGAGAATGCTGCTTGTGAGTCCCAGCCATCTAGTTTAGCCCCAATCCACGCCACATAAGCGGCGTGGGGGATACCCTCGACGATGCCGGAAGCGCGCAATTTAAGAACACAGAAGTGTGCAATTGACACGTGACTGAGGCCCTGTATATTTTACGTCTCGATAATTCGGGGCCGTTATTCGGAGGATAGCCACAATTTTATTTTAACCCTGTCTCCTAACATGTAAAACAAAAAGAAAACAGTTAATTGCATATCCTTTTACAAGATACTGCAGAACCAAGCCCAGCTATTTTTTGGCTGTTTGTGATTTGCCTAAAAAACTTTACATTTGATAGTTTGCCACTGCCTCTGAACAGTTGGTTCTCGATCTTATTGTCAAAACACACATCGCGTGGTCTGTTGCAAAATGGCCCACAGCTGGGATCAGACCCTGCACACTGGAGTTACAAAGGTCGTTGGCAACACCTAAGCCACAGGCACTGACCATTTAAATTCTAAATGTAGGTGTCAAAGTGACGTTTGCAACAGCAATGAACACTGAAAACTTGATTTTATGAATATACTATGAACTAGAACATGTAAGTCAATACACACAACCTACCTGTCCCTCTTTTATCACCGCAAAAGCTGCATTCTCTATGCGATCCGCGTATGAGCCCAGCTCCATGTAGCGAAGCATCATGACCGCACTCAGCAACAGAGCTGTTGGGTTGGCCTTGTTCTGACCTGCAATGTCTGGAGCTGTGCCATGGACCTGCAACAATTTAAGGCCAAGCTTCCCTTGTGAAACAGCCTAGGGTCACCAACTGGCCAGAGCAGGCCAACAAAAGAGATAAATGGAGGCGGGTGACATCTACAGCAATAAACCTCAAGGGCTCGGAATGCTGAAGAAGAAGAAGAAAAAGAAGAAGAAGAAAAAGAAGAAGCTTCTCTTGTGGACCCTGATTACATTCATCACTATCGTCCAATTACACTACTATCGCTATGTGTCTCTGTGTGGGTTACGAATCCCCTTTTGGAAGAAAAAAAACAGACCCCTACCCCTTAACAATTATGCCATAAAAGATGGCTATTTAGTGGTGTTTCCTTATAAGTCAGAATACATCTGCCTGAGAGGTGAGGAAACAACAGTCTGCATTCAAGTCAATCAGACCTGTAAAACAGATGTGCATGCAACACTCAAGTTCTCAAACACTACCAAAGTCCAGAAGTGGGCAAACAACCAGAACTTGTAACTGTCATTTAGAGGTGGTGAACACGAAGAAGAAGAAGAAGCACAATTATTAAGTTTCATGAGTAAGAACAGTTTGTGGTCTAGCAATGTGTGGCACAAAAACTGTCAACTCTGGTGGAATGTTCTGGTTGTTCGGCCACATCTGAACTTAAGTCTTGTTCCATAACTTGAATTTTGCATTGACATCAGTTTTTATTATTTGTATGTAGACTGTTGAAACCTCCCCTCTCAAGCATATGCACTCCAACTTGAAAGGAAAAATCACTAATTAGTCGCCTTTTACGATTATGCTTGATAACGAGGCAGTTGGCCTTAACTTTATTCCCTCCCCCCCCCCCCCCCCCCACCCCCCCCCCCCCCCCCACACAAAAAAATAGGCCCCTGAAACCCACATGGGGAAAAACCTTTGCAGCAGAACAAAATAAAGACTTGTTAATATTTTCACACAACATACTTTTTTTTCTTTTAGATGGAACTCAAATAGTGTATTTCAGAGTCAGATTCAGTTGATCCCACAACAGGTATTCTTCTTCTGCATTTGCCATTAAATGAATAGTTGGCACACTATGTTGTGGTTTAAAGCCAAGCTGTGATACCTGCCTATATCGTCCCAACAACTCTGATTTAAGCAAATTCTCCAATTACTTGCCTATTATTACATACTTGTTAAGGAGTAAGGGGTCAATTCTTATATCAACCTGAGTGTTGCGTGTATGACAGATCTGACTCATTTGTGTGCAGACTGTTGGTTCCATGCCTCTCATGCAGATGTACTCCAACTTCAAAGGAAGCTCCCAATTAGTTGACTCTTACGCCAAGCTTTTGGATAGGCAGTGGGTCTATCTTTGTTTTTCCTATAATAGGGCCCTGGAACCCACATAGGCATTTTGATAGACGATTTCACACTATTTTACAAGTCGGACATACAACAATTATCTTACCACCTACATCTGTTGTGGCATGCCTTAAGGGCCTTGGAGAGCAGGAAAATTCTGATATCACTATAAGGTCATTTATTTGTGAATTTAAAAAAATAAAGTTCCACATCAATTATCCTGCCCATGCATTCAATGAAAACTAAAATCAGGAACTTGAAACAGTAACATGAAGCATCAACAGATAAAACAAACTCACCGATTCAAAAAGTGCTCCTTCCTCTCCAATGTTACCACTTGGGGTTACTCCCAAGCCACCTATCAGACCAGCACACAAATCACTGCAAGTAGCAGAAGAAAATACACATTAATGCAAGTAGCAGATAAAACTAAACATCATTACAAGTAGCAGATAAAACTAAACATCACTGGTAGTAGCAGATAAAACTAAACATCACAGCAAGTAGCAGATAAAACTAAACATCACTACAAGTAGCAGATAAAACTAAACATCACTACAAGTAGCAGATAAAACTAAACATCACTACAAGTAGCAGATAAAACTAAACATCACTACAAGTAGCAGATAAAACTAAACATCACTACAAGTAGCAGATAAAACTAAACATCACTACAAGTAGCAGATAAAACTAAACATCACTACAAGTAGCAGATAAAACTAAACATCACTACAAGTAGCAGATAAAACTAAACATCACTACAAGTAGCAGATAAAACTAAACATCACTACAAGTAGCAGATAAAACTAAACATCACAGCAAGTAGCAGATAAAACTAAACATCACTACAAGTAGCAGATAAAACTAAACATCACTACAAGTAGCAGATAAAACTAAACATCACTACAAGTAGCAGATAAAACTAAACATCACTACAAGTAGCAGATAAAACTAAACATCACTACAAGTAGCAGATAAAACTAAACATCACTACAAGTAGCAGATAAAACTAAACATCACTACAAGTAGCAGATAAAACTAAACATCACAGCAAGTAGCAGAAGAAAATACACATTAATGGAAGTAGCAGATAAAACTAAACATCACAGCAAGTAGCAGAAGAAAATACACATTAATGGAAGTAGCAGATAAAACTAAACATCGCCGAAAGTAGCAGAAAATATACATTACTACATGTCATAGATTAAAATACACATTACTGGAAGTAGCAGACAAAAAAAATACATATTACTGAAAGGCACAGATAAACATACACATTGCTGGAAGTAACAGAGAACACACATCATTGGAAGTAGGAGAAAAATATATACATTACTGGAAGTCACAAACAAACATACACATTACTGGAAGTTGTAGATAAACATACACATTACTAGGAGTAGCAGAGAAAATACACATTAATGGAAATTGGAGATAAAACACATTACTGGAAGTAACAGATAAAAATTCACATTACTGGAAGTTGTGGATAAACATAAACATCACTAGAAGTAGCAGAAAAAATACACAATACTGGAAGATGTAGATAATCAAACATTAATGGAAGTAGCAGAATAATACACATTAATGGAAGTCGTCAATAAACATACACATTATTAGAAGTCGTAGAGAAAAATACACATTACTGGAATGAAAAAAATACACATTACTGAAAGTTGTATATAAACATACATATTACTGGAAGAAGCAGACAAAATATTCATTACTGGAAGTCGTAGACAAACATACACATTATTGTAAGTAGCAGAACAAAAATACACATTACTGAAGTCGTAGATAAATGTATACATCAATGAAATTAACTGTAAAAGTACACATTATCAGAACTAGCAAATATACCCCCAAGAAAATGGAAGTAGCAGATAAAAAATACACATAAGTGGAAACAGCAGATAACTATACATACATCAATGAAAATAGCCAATCTCATATAAATCATAGAAACGGATAGTATTTTAATATTTGTGCATGAGATTAACTTTAATCTCATAAACCTGTCTTATCAATCCAACTGTCATTAGCATTTTGTCTTGAGTTTAAAATGGAATGGAAAGTTTACTCTTTGCTTTAATCTGCATTTGTAACCACACACATCTTCATAGCTACACAAAGTGGCAGGTGTAATGATGGGAATTCCCAGGGAACCCTAGAGTTTCCCAGATGAGGCAATAAGGTCAGAAGGCCAGGAAAACAAAGGAAGCATGGAAAAGGTGCGTTGAGATGTCCCATGTTTTGTGAATTATTGTAAGGGCAAAGCGTGGGGTTGGAATGACGATATACAGTCAGTTGGTGTTTGGACAACTGCGTGAGAGGTTGATTGCAGAAATAAGCGACTGTTATGAATAGAAGTTCTGATGTGTGAAAGTTCCCCAGACTCTGAGAACCAGGGCTGGGTCTGTGTGAATCTAAAGCCAACGTAGAACGACTGAGATTCTGTGACGCTGGACTGGAAATGCAAGCTGTCAGCATGAGAGAGTGAGATGTATGGGCCAAATTGTAACTGAAGCTAAATTTGAGTTGTGATGTTTCTACAGCCATGTATATGATGAAGCCCTGTATTACTAATAAAACCATTGAATAGTGACTGGATGGTACGTTTGTTGGGTTGGCAAAAAGCAAATCTACACTTGCCAATGGGTGTGTCTTCATCTTCTGTGTTTGTACTAACACAACAACTGTACTAAAGGAAGGTCAGCATGTCTATGGGCCCAAATAGATCCTAGACAGAGCCCTATTGCACAGGTTACTTGTTATCTGCTGATCGGCCGGTGTTGCAACATTTCCAAAACATAAATGAATGTTACTCGTTTCAATGACACGCACTGGATCATAAATGCTTTGTTTTTTTTACATGGCTATAATAAAATGAGTCTCATCATTAAGAAGTAGCGCAAAGTACACAAACAGGCAAATTAGTGGAAATAACTTCCAGCAAACACTGTAAAACCAAACATTATATCACAATGGCAGATGCTGTGTACCTTAAAATATCTCCATACAAGTTAGGCATCACCAGGACATCAAACTTCGAAGGGTCTTGGACAAGCTGGTGTGATTATCCACAGTGGAATGTGACAGACAGAAAAATTAAATCAGACATATAGAAAAGACAATATGTTTAATATCAAACACAGTCCAAAAAAAAAACAGCACCAAAAACAGACAAAATATCTCATGTCAAAAACAATGTATGGAAAATATAAAAAATAAGTACCGAATGTCAAAAACATAACAAAATCTCTTAAAATGTAAAATATCAGAAACAACATATCAGAAACAATCAGGTATAAGAAAAGCATCTGTATATTTGTTTGTCTGTGTTTGTTAAAGATCGACTTCCCTACACCCATTTCTTTGTCACTGCCAGCAGATGCCAAACAGTATCAGTATCATCATGTGCCTTGCTAACTAACTGGTGTGGGTGAGCAGTTTTCTCCACATCTTGTGATCAATATGTATCGATGCATATAACAATATATTCTGTGCAGTGATAAAAGGTTGCCAAGAACCTTCTTTCACCGTCTTCTTCTCCCTCACTTTCCCTTTATCACACTGTGTTCTAGTTTGTATATTCTCATAAGAAAGCTAGTAAAATAAATTGACGACTGCCTTTTTCTGATGTTGTGATAATTTGTCTTTGAGTTGTATCCTATGTCAAAATGATTGTATTACTGATTTTGGCTGTCCAAGGAATGTTCAGCAATCTTCACAAGGAAAGAATCCATGCAGATTTCTTACTACCGACTGTCCAGAATTCAAGGCCAGACTTAATAATTGCTTAATTAAAATGCAAGAATTCTTTTTCAGACCTCTAATAAGAAAACATTTCTAACATTTAAAAAAAAAAACGTTTTGGTGAAGTTTCTGCATGGGTAATTTGTACAGTAAAAATGAACTATGTACTTATTTATGCAGATTTATGTGAAGAAGCATGAGCATTCCTGCCAGATGTAAAGTAAATTACCCTTTTCGATGCCTTCAGGCGTACTGGGCATATGGTGCTAGACCTATATTTTATAGATTTATCGGCACTTGGTGGATAATATTCCGGCACTTGATGGATGATATTCCCTGCCTGCCTTAGCTTCCAAGGAATTTACCTGGTACCCATTTTAGTCTTGGTTCAACGTGGAAGCTAAAATCACTTCTGGGAAAAATTTTGTTCAAAAAGGATTTGATCATAATAGTTGGCAAGGTACTTAAATATTATTAAAAAATTTTAGATACAAACTCAAATTTGTGTTACTGAACCAGACAAGATACTTACATTTAAACAAACCGTGTCAAGGTACATCTCTGAGAACTTGATGTCTTTGTTCTTTGCTGCCACATCACGACAGCATTTCAAAAACAAGCCATCGGACATTCGCCTGAAATACATGGCAAAAACTATATACACACCAATATTTATAACACCACAACTGTCTCATGTATCCTTTTGTTCAATTTTATGCTATTCGATACTAGGTGAAGAAGTTCTATACTTTGTTAGTCTAGGTTTCATAAATTACTAGAGACAGGTAGTCCCACAACTGCTCCCTTCATGTGCCCCTAAAATCACACAAAATGTCCTTCATTATCCCATTTGAAATTTAATGAAAACTTGTCAGTCCCAGCCAATTCTTGAAGCTTGCACATGTAAAGTAAAAATGCATAAGGCAGCTGTCAGATGTGTCAAAATTAGTGGTCCCACAACAGAATTGCAGCTCCATGTTGGTGTAAATGCTCAATCACAAAAACCAGCATGGCACTGCAGAAACATGCAACTCTGAATGTAATCACCCACATACCATTTTAGTGCAGTCAAAAATGTGCTACAAGCGCATCAGAAAGAAAAATTCCACAAGAAATTCACAACTCACAGTGCTGCACCAAGCACAAAACTTAGTCAACAGGGTGATGAAACAGTTGGACTACCGGTCCAGAAATGGGGAATTAGCATAAATAAATGTAGCTGCAATAAAAAACTTGTCAGAGGTAGGCCAGTTATTGGCCATTTTAGTCGGACGTTTGATGCTTCCTATAGGGAAGCTCTATTCATAAGTATCCTGTCAGATGTGAATTGCTGCAATGGTAATGCTATATTACATAGACGCCAAGTTTTGAAAACTCATTTCTACACCCTGAGGTATGGCGGGCATATAATGCAACCCTTGTATTTTCATAGTCCAAAATGTACACCAAGGATAATGAAGCCAATCCCACAGCAGCCACTTTTACTTCCTTGCATCCAGTGAAAGGCTTGGTAAACCTGGAAGAACAGGTCAACTGTAAATACCAGCACTGACAGGGATTTAAACACATGACCACTGGGGCTAGAAGGCAAATGTGATAGCCACTGGGACCACTAAAGCTCCCACTTTGACCACTGGTCTGTATTTTTATCAAGTCTTGCTGCATGAGGTATACTATGTCCTACATCATCGGTTAAAATCAAAGGAGCTATCTCGTAACACTAAGATCACAATATATAAAACTAACAAGACAAACTGTCCTTCTGCAATCCCCCTTAAAAGGTCAGCCCATTTTGTTGTGCTTTAGTTAGGCTGCAATATCTGCACCTTTCAGCTCAACATAACCAATTTCAACAAACCCTAATTAGTTACCTTTTATGACACGTATATTAGGGGACAGTTGATCTATTCTTTCACCTCCCCCTTTTCACAGAGCCACCACACAGTGAGCTCTGTGGGTTCTACTGCAAGGACATTCTACTTATACTATTACCAGATTTCTTTTGGCTACTTATATTATTACCAGATTTCTTCCAAAAGAACACAACTATGGTTACTCACATGATGTTGGCCTTGTGGACGGCTGTTACTGTGCTTCTCTTGTTATCTCTGGCATACTTGAAAGCATATTCAGCCACTCGTCTAGACGCTTGTTCTGTGATCAGTTTGATACTCTGGACAACTCCATCAACAATCTATTAGAGTTAACAGTCAACCTTTACCATAAGGATAAACAAGGAAAAGATCCACAACCTTCTGTCTCATGTACTTTCCATCAACTCTGACACAGATGATCCTCCATGCCATGATGTCAAACTGTCCGGCATCTCTTCTCTATGTCTCCCTCTGCCTCTCCTCCACTGCACCTTTTCTACTGTCACAATGTACTCCAGTTTTCTCCTTCTCGTACATGAACAAAAATTGTGCATTGTCTCTTTCTTATGCGGACAATCAGTTTCTTTCTGTGAGTCAGTTTTTTTCAAGACATCTTCATTACTCTTTTTATCTGTCTAGGGTTTTATCATCTGACTATATAATACATTAATACATAAAAGTAGTCAGAGATCTGAGACTGGGACCTTGATGTCCAAAAGTATAGCGTCTGACAACAATATGCAGTTACTGAAAAGAGGGGAACAGACAGAAGTAGTCAACACAGACAGAAAGCCACTGAGAATGTCTGACACATTTCCCTTACCAGATGTTCTATACCACTGTACTCCCCCTCTGTGTTCTCCCTAATTGTCACAATGTCAACATTGTTGTAAGGCGTCTCATAGCCTTCAATGGATTTACATGGTCTCACATTAGCATAGAGGCTGAAAGCTCTGAAAATACAGATATAAGAGGATTCATAAACTTCAGCAACATCGTTTGTCTCTTAACACTGGCTACTGTTTTGTTAAATCTCTAATGACAACACTCCCACCTCATTCTCTACAAACCATAACAAAGGTGTGAGTGCTGTGGTATCCTTCCATAGCTCTAACAAGGATAATCGTTGCATAATTCAAGAACAGCCTAACTGCTGAGAATCCAAATATACATATCTCTTTCAGCCTTCGGAGCCCTTGAGGTTCTCTGCTGCAGATATCACCAGCCTCTGTTAATCTCTATGACTGGCCTTTTCTTTTCTAGGTGATGACTCCAAGTGTTTGTTGGCATGTGTTTTTCCTTTTCTTCTTCGCATTTACCAGCTGTAAAGTCCAGCAGAATGTTCTGGGTGTCTATCCCCCTCTGGACTTTAGTCTTACTTCAGAACCTGAGTGTGCACCCCTGTGACATAAATCTGTTTTTTTTTTTTTTTTTATGCAGATTCTTGATTCCTTGCCTCTTAGTTAGATGTACTCTGACTTTAAAGGATGCTCCCAATAAGTTGAATCCTCGGCAGGCAGTGAGTCTATTCTTGTTTTCCCCCATAACAGAGCCCCAGAACCCACATGGGAAAGCCTGTCTGAATATGATCTATCCACTATCTTCGTGGTGCGTATTGCTGTGTACTCTCCATCAACATTTCTGTGCAAACAAACTGTCTCTCTGTTATTACCTACATATATCATCATCATAATAAATTAGCATGTCCTTTAGAGAACGTCGCTCTCTTCATGGCACGCCTAAAGGCCTCTCTTTCTCCAGCCAATTCTCAAGCCCTGTGTGATTTTACAGGTAGTGCATCTTCAATGTTTTGTATCCGCCTTCCTCTTGTATTCCTGAAACTGCACCCTTCATCAACGTTATCTCCAGACCATCACGGCGCTTGTCATGTCCAAAATACTTCGGCTTTCAGTAGAGGATTCTATCTGCGAGCCAGTTCTCTTTGAATCTCAGGTCATGCAGGATGTCGAAGTTTTTCCTCTTCTTGGTCCACGGTATACTAAGACCGTTTTTATAGAATTCCAGTTCAAAAGCAGTGATTTTCTTCTTCACAGCCTAAGTGACGAGTCCACAACTCACATCCATATTTGTCAGGTAAAAGATGCATGATCTCAAAATGGTTACTTCCTTAAACTTGCTTGCAGGTGCTATACCATACGTTGTTCATGCTGTGTAGCCTCTGCACTGCTAAAGCAATACTTTTCCTGACTTACTTTGTGCAGTCGCCATTGTCATTCATTATTAAGCCTAAATATTCCAAATGTGTGACATTTTCAATTTCTTCATTGTCGATTTCAACACGTGGTTGGTGAGCTGTATTCATTGTGGACATAATTTTTTTTCACATTCAGAAATAGATTCACTTCTTGACTGTGCTTTTTGACATTCAAAATTATATTTTATAAACCTTGTACACTGTTGGAAAGAAGAACTGTGTCATCTGCATATCTAGGATAGGTCTACCTCCAATTTTATGTCAATCGAAGCTGTCATGGGCCTCTTCATTGACTGCATTTTTTATAACATTTTGGGCACATATATTAAAAACGAAAATATAAATATACCAGAATTGAATGCTTTAAATATTTTTTCAGCGTTGATTTCCCCAGTGTGAAATTTAGAATCAACTTTTTTTCATTTCCAGCTGTTGAGGAAAAGAAAAAGAAAGGTACGACAAAGTTGGCAACTTCCATCGCGTAATCAACAGAGCCGTAAACCAGCTCCGGGCGCCAAACAAAAAGCAGGGAAAAAACGGCACACCGAATAGAAGAGGCTACCGCCAATTCTAAGAGCCACAGAGGGAGCCCACCAAACAAGCCACCATCTTTACGGACAGCCCAAAACAAACAACCGCCAACCGGACAGACAGTCGCCGTACCGGAGCCACACCCACCTGCTGCGCCCCTCTGGCAAATAACCATGTAATAACCACAGAGCTAACCAAAAATCTTAACCTAGTTTATTTTCAGAAAAAAAAGAAGACCACGGAAATTACCACAGGCCACCCGACGCTCCGAAGCAGATAGCCGAGGGCTTTAAAGCTACCATTAAAGCAGGTTACGGAATCTACATAGGTTATCCCGATGGATCTGTTGAAGAGATTTTTGATGCATGCGGGGAATTCTGTTCAAACTATGAAGCTGAAATAATTGCACTGGAAACAGCAGTATACCACCTAAAGACTGTAATGGATGTTTACCCCTCAAAGGTCCAAAATATTGTCATCTTCACAGATTCAATGTCTGCCCTTCAAGCTCTGGAGGGCAATGAACGCTGCAGAACTGACATAGCCAAAGATAATCCTGGATGCCGATCAGCTTATTACCTCATACAACATCAGAATAGTGATGCAGTGGATTCCAGGTCACTCCGGCACACACCAGGTAATGACAGAGCTGACAGATTGGCAAAAGAAAGGAGCCAACACAAGAACAACCACCTACAGCGACAACCCTCCAGACAGCAAAAAACACTGATAAGAAGCTATAAACAAACGACTTGGTTGAACAGATGGGCCATGGGAGACACTGGAAGAGAGGTTTTATAGACATATGTCTGGCCCTGATCCTAATGACAGCATTAACCATCTAACAAGAAGGGGACCAGGCCACCATCTTCAGACTTAGAACGCAACATACTCCACTCAATGGACACCTAAACAGAATACAGCCACAACACTCCCCAGAGTGCCAGCTATGTAACTACCCCTACGAAACTGTTGAACACCATCTCTTTGAGTGCCCAAAACTCAGTGAGACAAGAAGAACGCTACTCCCTCCGAGACCAGACAAGTGGAACACCTTGTACGGAGGAAAAGAACAGCTTGTGAAAACATGCAAATTCCACTACATGGCATTGGGCCAAAGGGCGAAAGCTCATGCGCCGCTGGATCGATAACAACAACAACAACAACATAGCCGAGGGCATTGCACCTAAGGGGACCAGCACTTGGGAATTCCAGTCACCATCACGCCACCCCACCCCACGTGTATTTTAACAAATGCCTTTCACTTTTATTTCAGACCAAGTGACCTCAACCGACCAAGGTGGATCCTACCTCTATCTGTCACTCTCATTCACCCGACCTAACTATCACATCTCCTGGCACATTCGAGCAAATTTGATCTCTCATTTGCAGTCTACCTTACTTCCACTGCTTCTCCACACTCCATGGAAAGAAAAAAACGGGCTGATCACAACAACAGATTGTGACGGCCCTGGTTGTCCTGAAAGGGAACATTGTTCATGACAACGTGATCCGATTGTTTGTTTGGCTTTTTCCGGCGGCTTACAGATCGGCAACCAAGCAGCAACAGGGCACCAGCACAGCGACCAGCACGAGGCAAACCAAGCACCAGCAACAGTCAACTAGTACCCGTCGATATCATCGCAAAGAGATCTGGATCACACCAGAACCAAAAACCACAATCACCGCAGCACAGCAAGGAAGCAAACAACCGTAATATCAGGTGTGACTGCACACCACAAATAAAAGGAAACCAAATAAGACAGCTAAGGAACCTTCTTCGATATAGCAGGCCTCCGGGCGGCTGAAAGAGGATCAAATTTGGAATTGTTGTTGGACGAATTGGAATTGGAGTACATACTGACCGAAATGACATATAAGACACTTGATGTGATGTTTGAGGCATGTGAGGAATAGTCTGTAAGACATCATGTTTTGTCTGGGGCTAAAAGAGTGAATATGCACAGAGGTGACATTTCTTCATTCCTCTAAGGTTTCACAAAAGATCAATCCACCAAAATCAGAAGCGGCCTAACATTTGTTTCTTATTTTTTACAATAGTACTGTCCATTCTGTGAACTGTATCCCATCAGCTTCACTTAGAAGTGAAAGTTATACCTCTAAGTTCCCTGCCCCTCCCATAGAACCCTGACAGGTAACTCATATATTTTAACAGACCCTGGAGCGCACAGGGTCGCACAAGCAGACCAAAAAACACACAGAGAAGGGAACTTGAGATAGCAACAAAATAGACAGATCTGGCTTAAGTTGGTTAAGGGATTAGACTCCACTGGGAGATGAAGGGCTTTAAAAAGGATAGGGAGGACCTAGGGTGAACTACAAGCGAGAGGGGGGAAAAAGCAAGACTGGCTTGAGTTGGTTGAAGGTTTATGCTCAATTCAGGGGGATAAAAAGCATTAGAAGAATAGAACTTGATGGGGGATAATGTCAGTATTGTGTCAGCCACCTTTACTTTCGGAAATATTCCTTGATATCCAGTTTAAGACGGTCTCGACCTGGACAATTTTCAAAATTTTCTCAAGGTATTCGAACACATGACCTCGGTCAGCATATTAGATACTGCACTACTGAAACTATTGTTTCTAATGAAGCCACTTTAGATTTTTTTTTTAACGAGCAAAATTGCACATCCTCTACGATATGTCTTGCATATTCAATGCTTATTTTTAAACAATTATTGAAATGTGCATACTTGCGAAGAGCCAAATTTAACGACTGATGACCCTTGCCAATTGGTGTAGCTAGTGGTCCTTTCAAACCGACTTTGGTCCTTTCCATGGATTCAAAAATCTTCTGTGGTAAACGAAACCTGCCATCAGGGCCCTTTACAGGGGTCACATCCACATCTTCCCAATCAACTGGCACCTGAAGCAGTCAACAAACAAACAACATTTATCAATATTAGGAATATTGTTTTCTCTAAATACCATTCCATTTCACATGTGAAAAATCATAATATTCCAGTTCTTATGATGTGTCAAACAGTTGATATTTTATAATTTAAAAAAATAATGAAAGATTAAATCAGCTTTTCGAGCAACCTTGGCCAGAAACAAAAGATGGAACATGCAGAAGAAATTACAAATTGAGCTGAAATGACAAAATGCAGTAAATGATGTTTTTAAAACATGGTCACATACCCCTGCAGCACTGAAAATTTTCTTCACAGCCTCCGAAATTTCTGGACCAATTCCATCTCCAGGAATCATGGTTACCAGCTGTTTCTAGAATACAAAATGTATAAAATGTTTCAACTAAATCTGTTTCAAATCAGTGCAAACACACAGGAAATGTTACATTTACAAATAGATTAGTGTACAAAACTTGTCCTAAATTGAGTGTGCTTTTGAACAAACAGGAAATATGACATTTTTAAATAAATTAGTATAGAAATGCTGTCATAAATTGTGTGTCATAATGAGTCAGTAATCATATAACACTACCATCAGGTGCCTTGCCCAGTAATATACACAATCATAGTAAAGTAGCTAGTAAAAAATCCCGTTCATGCTAGTGGCACATCAGTCATACGTTTAACTGTTATTTGTGTAGACCAAATGGCACTTGGTGGGTGGTGTGGTCAACATTACGCCGGCCACCTTTACTTCCCAGGATGTGGTTTTTTCAAACCTGGTACTAATTTTAGGGTAGGTCGACCTATGAGCCACAATCATTTTTATTTTGTTAAAAATTTGACTCGATGTGGATACTAACTCAGGACCTTCAGTGTTTTTTTTTGTTCCTCTTCAGCGTTTCAAGCCCTTGAGGTTCATTGCTGCAGATATTGCTACCTCAGTTCATCTCTCTGGTAAGCCTCTTTCCAGCAGGTGACTAAGTGTTTGTAGGTCTGCCTGGATATTATCTCTCCACCGTCTTCTTGATCTGCATCTTAGACTACAAACATTTAGCTCCATTGTCTATAATTTTTACCTTCAGGCTAGCATGTGATAAACAATAATGATATTCCATATCTCATGAACTCAAACACATCTAATCATCATCCTCCACTTCCAGCAGGTGTGGAAAGCAGTTAGCACCGTGGCGAAGCGCTAGATTCTTGTCACAGATTGAAAGGTCATGGGTTCGCTCCCTATCAGTGCCGGACTTTTTTTTTAAATGATCTTCGCTAACAGGTTGACCCAGCCTCGAGTGGGTACCGAGTGCAGTCCTGGGAAGTAAAGGCGGCCAGCGTGATGCTGACCACATCACCTATCTTGTGCCAATCGGTCTATACAAATATAGGTCTAGCCCTATATGCCTAAAGGCGTGGAAAAAGGTTCTTTACTTTAAGTTATCTTAGAAGTAAATGTTAGTAAATATTTACCTCTGATGAGTATTTTCTGCATCCTTGCTTATTTACTTGAAGCTGTGAATACAGATTTTAACATGCTGATCATTATTGGATAATGACAGTGTGCATTTACAATGAATATTAAATGGGATATTAATTAAAGACAGGTGAAGTAATATCAGAAATGTAAGGACAACTATTTGTATTATCAATTAAAGAACAAAGAAGATGGCTATATACTGCACATATAAAGACAAAACATACTAGTCTAGCCCTGCATGCCCAGTGAGTGCCACAGACGTTTAAAAGGGTCCTTTACTTTTATCATGAGAAAAAGACACCCCCCGCCCCCAAGCACAATAATGGGAAACATAAATTAAGGAACTGAGGGCCCCACAAGAGAAACTGTGTGACGAACTTAGAAGCCAAGAACAACTGGACTGGTTCCATATCAAGAGTTTTACTGTATTGCACAAGGCAGAATGAAGTGGTGGACTGGTTGTGCTGTGTTATGTGGCATGTAAGGATACAAAGGGATGGTGATGATGTTAATCAAGTTAATGTTGGTGACCACCAGTGATAAAGTAATCGGACTAAATCAAAAGCTACTCAGCATTGTCAGTTGACAATCTGAGTTACCCTTCGTTTCAATGTCAACAGACAACAACGGGAAATATAAATTATTCTCTGATGACCTTCAGCTGTCGTGAAAAGCTTAATTCAATCATTAATTCACTGACGTGAAGCAGATTTTCTTACTACCATTCACTGAGTGATCAGTATATTATCAACATTAACCAATACGTATGACGATTTACTTATTTTATTTGGTGTTTTCCACCAATCTGACTTCATGCCCGATGTCTGCTAAGCTAAAACTGGGTATAGATTTTAATTAGCTCTCATTGGCAGAAGCTTTAGGTTATGTCTAAACAATTGTTGAAATAACAAACTCGATTAAATAATATTTTTTTTGTAACCGCCGTGCATTACCTGTGCGTTCAAGTGTCCCAACAGAGGTAAAACTTGAGCAGGCTGGGCCGACACTTGTGTCATGTGCCGAGCAAGACTACACAGAATAGTTTTTCCAGCCATCTTTGACTGACCTTCACGATAGTGCCAGGTTTTTTCTCCGTGCTCTGCTGAAATGTCAGCAGGCTGTCGGTTGTTTGGTTACCTCTCTCTGTCTCAGCTGTTAACATTGAAACGCGTTATCTTACTTGTTATACTGAAAATGAAACACTTCTGTAAGTGAACAAGTAAAAAGCAAAGGTCCCTTTTGAAAGCCTTTGGGCAAATAGGGCTAGACCTATATTTTTATAGACCAATCGGCACAACATGGGTAATGTGGTCAGCATCACGCCGGCCACCTTTATTTCCTAGAACTGCGCCAGGTACCCACTCGAAGCTGGGTCGACCTGGGAGTCAAGGTCATTTTTGAAAAAAGTCCGGCTCTGCCAGGGAGCGAACCCACGACTTTCCGATCCGCACGCGAGCGTTTGGCCGCTACGCCAAGGCGACGAAAAACTTCTGTATTAACTCTAAAGTCCTCAGTTCCTCGCACTGCATTCAGTAAGTCACTCCGTTTCATGAACTTTGAGATTTATGCAAACTGACAGCTCTTCTATTACTTACTTCTGTCTCAGTTGTTTACGCTAAAACACATCTGTATTCTGTAACTTTAACTCCTAACATCTCCCCATTCCTTGTAATTCTAAATCCTTCTGTTCTAGTGTTTTGCCCTAAATAACACTATTTCAGGCGTTATGAGATTTTTGCACGCTGTCGGTCTTGAGTTACTTCGTCTCTCTCTCTCTCTCTCTCTCTCTCTCTCTCTCTCTCTCTCTCTCTCTCTCTCACTCTCTCTCTCTCACTCTCTCTCTCTCTCACACACACTCGCTCTCTCACACACAAACACATACACACTCACACACCTGTTACACTGAAACATCCCTGTCTTGACTCGTGTATCTCTAGCTCCTTAGAGTCCCTCAGTTCTTTGCAGTTTCTACCGTACATCATTTTGTTGCATGTTTGTTTTGTTTTTTCACAAACCGCATGAAAACTGTTGTTTTGGTTGCTTCTTTCTGACTCAGCTGTTACACTCCAACACTTCTGTCATTTAAACGTTTAATTTCTACAATCCGTTTGTCCCTTGCAGTTTGTACCCTAAACAATGTTATTACTTGTGTATGAGGTTTCTGCAGGGCGGTTGCTGTCCATTTTCGGGATATATCCTTCGGTCTCACTTGTTACATTGAAACAGGTCAGTTTCGGCTTGTATAACTTTAACTCTTAAAGTCCCTGCATTGTTAAAAATGTGTGTCATAAATCATTCTAGTTCTGTGTTCAGAGGATTCTATAGAGCGTCTGTTGTTTGTTTGTGAAAACCTTTTTCTGTCACCCTAAAGTACCTTTTATTTTGATTGTATACCTTTAACTACTATAATTTGTAGATTCCTTGCAGTGTCTACCATTAAAAAAAAATTTTTTAGGTGCAATGAGTTAGGGTTTAAGCTGTCTTGTAACTGTCCATATTCTGTCCTTCTATCTTAACTGTCACACCTATGTATGGGTCTGTATTACTTAACTCATATAATCCATCGATCCCTTGCAGTTAGTACAATAAATTGCTCTATATTGGATGTTGTAAATTGTGTCTGTTACCTGTTCTTTGGTTACCTCCTAGTGTCTCAGCTGCAACATTGATATCTATGACTTGGTATGATTAACAACTGCTACAGTCACTCATTTCTTTTCCGTTTATTCTCCAGGTCTCCCTGTTCATAGATGTTTTGAGAATTCCCCAAGCCGTATGTCTTTTCTTGGGTTATAACCTTTTTGCCTTTGCTGTTACTTTGTCTTCACTTGCATAACTTCAACTCCGATAGACTTTTAATCCCTTTCCATTATACTATTAACCGCTCTATCCGTGTGTTTTAATAAAGCCTTTGTAAGCCACAGGAACCTGCGTATTTAGGTACGTTGAGCTCCCTCCGCGAAACATTCTCAGCAACCCCCCTCCCCCCCCCCCTTTTTTTTTTCTTTCTTTTTTTTTACACCCGCCCACTCCTTTAAAATGTGTAAAGGGGTAAAAGTTTGCATATAATTTCTCTTTGTACTAATCCCGAAATGTACCCCATGTCATTCAGACGCGAGATTTCGTGGCCGTTCCCACGGGCTAACCTTTGCTCTAAGGGTGTTATGAAATGCCTTCCTTTCCTGTCTATATACAACGTGGTGAAAACGCGTTCATTCCATGCGGTCGACACACTGCCTTCAAGTCGAAACTACAGCTTCTTTTTCGCAACTGTCTTCTCTATGAATGACTGTCGTTTCTCGAATGTGTTGTTGTTAGGTCTCGCCGAAGGCGACTGTGTACAATGAAAAGTATTGCCGGGGGAGCGCCGAAAGCTTAAAACTTCTTGATTATCGAATCATTTTTAATTTTTGTTTATTTTTAGGCTCGTTGAGCATGAAACGGCCAAAACGATGAACTAATTCATGACACCCCTAGTGTGCCAGGAGATTCCTACGAAATCACAAGACCGGCGAGATGGGTTGACTTTCGTGAGTTGTACAGTTCTCTTTTACAATATTTTTTTTTTTTTATAAATTAGATTTTATTTGAACTATATTATGTTTGCCGTTACCGATCTCGTGCGGTATATTTTCCCTGAGTGATGCAAGTCTTCGAAATGCCGGCTCTAATAGTTTCGCGCTGTCAGATCAAAAGCTCAAATTGTATATTGATTCGACTGTTTATCCCGTCCCCTTATGGTACCACCTCTCTATATTATAGTACGTCATTCACATAAATAAACATGGTTTGTGATGGATTCTGTCCGTATTCCATAGTTGTAGATTTCAAACTGTACGATAGACATGGCCAATGAAGACACTTTTATTTGGGGGTGACTAGTTGGTAGTGCT